GAGAAGTCACACATCATCTTGCCACAAACAAGCTTTTTAGACTTTTTGGTATTTTTCTCAGTGTTTTTCTGTGGTTTCTGTGTGCACACACACAACCACATACACGTGCACACGCACACACACGTACACATGTGCACACGCACACACACGTACATGTGCACACACCCACCCACATACACATGTGCGCACACACATGCACACACGTACACGTGCACACGCATGCACACATGTGCACACACCCACATACACACGTGCATGCACACACATGTATGCATGTGCACACACCCAGCCACATGCACATGTGCACACTCACAGGTGCACACGTGCACACACCCACACACATGTGCGCACGTGTGCACACACACATGTGCATACACCCACCCACATACACATGCACACACCCACATACACAGTACACACACATGAACACACATGCACACACGTACACATGTGCCCACACCCACGCACATGCACATGTGCACACACACACACGTACAGATGTGCACACACCCGCCCACATACACATGTGCACACGCGTGCACACATGCACACACACATGTACACATGTGCACACACCTACCCACATACACACGTGCGCACACATGCACACACGTACACACACCCACATACACGTGCACACGCGTGCACACACACGTACACATGTGCATACACCTTCCCACATACACATGTGCACACGCACACACATGTACATATGTGCACACACACCCACATACTGCTTTGTAAGTGGCATGTGCCGCCTTGTGATCTTGGTCTCTAGAGTCACTGTGGTCGAGGCGTTTTCACAAATGCTTGGAAACTTCGAGAATGTAGCTTTTAACGAGGGCCTATGAACACGACGGAATTTGTTGGTAAAATTCCTGGTCTGTTATCCCAGGGCTTTGCAGATAGGAATGCTGTGGGAAGTCCTTGTGCTCAGAGCTCTGGTTTTCCAGAGTGGGGCTTCCGTCCGTGTCGTGAGTGCTTTGGACATGCCAGGCGCAGGTCTCCTGAGGTGATTGGGTCTCTGAGCAGCACGTCCTCGCACAGGGAGCCTGTGTGAGCACCGTGGCCCCCAGGCGCGTCCCGCCCCCCGCCTGCTTTCAGCGGGTCGTGCACTCTGGGTTAAGGCAGTTTGACAAAGCACTGTGTTCTCCTGCTCCGAAGGGGTCCACACTCTGTCCTAGCGTCCACTGAAACGTCTCTAAAAGCTGAAAGCCCTTTTCTGGAGCTCCTGTCGCTGGGGGCTGGGCTGAGGGGCCGGGCGGCTTGCAGAGACCCCCGAACAGAAGGGTGGCTGCAAACACAGGCTACGTGTCGGGAGAAGAGGCCGAGCGTCCCTGGAAGGAACGCCCCGCGTGTGGCCTTGGCTCCTTGTGAGAGGTCGCCTGCCGAGGAAGCGCTGACCCTCCCCACGAGGAGACACGAGCTGTGCTGCGATTCTGTGCGGGGAGGCTCATCGCCACTGGTTTTGTTGCCTCTGTCCAGGCCTGACACACAGCGACTGTCCACGTCCTCCTGGAATTTCAAACGCTGGACACACTGCGGGGGACGCTGTCCGGTGCCTCACGGTCACACACCGAAGTCGCAGCCTCCCCAGAGCCACTCTGATGTCTTACTGTATTTTGCATCTGCAAAGTGGGACTGTTTGTTTTTTTCTACAATCATCACCTTCGTGAGACTGGTTTCCTCTCTCGCTCTGAACTCACTTCGCGTTAGCTTCATGCTCCCAGGGACAAAATGAAGACACGTCGAGACGTTGGCGACTTTCATCTAGAAACCACATTCAGTCCGATGTTCAAAGCGTTTGCAAAGACAGCAGATAATAGCACAAAGGCTCCTCAGATTCAATCTCAGGCCAGAACTATGAACCTTTAGCGTCCGCATCTGCACTCACCTGGCTGTGTCTGGACCGCCCAGTGGTCTGGTGGCTCACACACGTGAACTCACACTCGTCAGACCTTTTGTCTTGATTTCTCCTTCAAAGGTAGCGGCTAAAATATCAGCGAGAGCAATTGGCACTTCACGTCCGCCTGGACACTGGGCAGAAAGCCTGTTCTGCGTGGCCGTCCGTGACCTGAAGCACACCGCAGGCGTTTTCCCTGGACTCACGGCAGTCACACTCACTGTTCAGGAACAGCCATGCCCGAGGAGGAAGTACAAGCTAAATAACATCCTCTTTTTGAGGATGTTTTTGGATGTTTTGGTGATGCAGGTGCAGTGGGAAGGAAAGACTGCATTATGTCTTAATCAAACCAGAGCAGAAGTTGGAGAGAAGGGTTTCTACCTTATTTTCAATGTGTATCAACAACGGTAGATAAACAATGACATTGATAGCTAGGGCACTGGGTTAGGACTCTGCATAGTTGGGTTTAACAATTTTTTTTTTAATGTTTATTTTTGAGGGAGAGAACTTGAGCAGGGGAGGGGCAGAGAGAGAAAGGGAGAGAGAGAATCCCAAGCAAGCTCCACTCTGTCAGCACAGAGCCCGACACGGGGCTTGAGCCCACCAACTTAACCGTGAGATCATGGCCTGAGCCGAAGTCAGACACTCAACCAACTGAGCCGCCCAGGTGCCCCCCACCTCCCAGGACTCTGCACAGGTTTTAATTAAACTCTGTAGGTATCCGGTCTGATCTTGGACAAGGCTTCCTTTTATAAATCCAAGAGCTTAAAACTTTGAAAATGACAAAATGTGAGTTTTTACCTAATGTCACCATATTTCAATTCCAGTACAATTTTAAGCATCCTGAATAAGTTAATCAAGCACTCCAGCACTAGGAATGAAGTAAGTTACTATGTTGATTAAATCTGCTTGCTTATGATTAAGGTCGTATGGCTTCCATTAATTTTCAGTGAAGCCAGATTCATGAATTGATAAGGACTGATAGCCATTTAAACAAACAGAGGAACATCTGACATCTTAAGTTGTGAAATATCTCAAACACCATACACGATGTGTAAAAGGAAATAGACAAGTTATCCTTTGCCTTGGATGCTTTAAATTTCCAGAAAAACCAAGTGATACCAAGCTGGGAAAACGTCCCCTTCCTTCCTTCTTGGGAAGTAACCTCTATGCCAGATTCCTTCCTCTTCTTTTCACATCCTGTAAACAACCTACAGGATTGTACTTCATGTGCAGGATGTGGACGGTATTGCATGGTATCTTTGTACCAACTGCAAACCCTCAAAAATTCGAAGTTGTGTTTTTGAGATGTATTCATAGTCATGTAAATTAGCTCATTTTCACGTATATAGTGATTTGGGCAGACACGAGAGTAGTCTAAAAGCAGTCTAGTGAATTCCATTTGTGCAGCAGGACACAAAGCATTCTCTCTCAAACACAGGACTGAGCACGGTCGCTGCCAGGTCACCTTCCCTGCGCTTCCTCACAAACCATCAGTGGCTCTCCACTGTAACCAAGACGGAGGGGCTCCACGGACGTGGCTGGTCCTCCGCAGTACGGCCAGCCAGCCGCTTTCTGTTTCTAGAACCGGTCAGGCTTGTTGTCACCCCAGGACCTCCCCGTGGCTGCTCTCTCCCGCCTTCCCTGCTAACTGCTACCCCTCTCAGCCGTCAGCCTACCTTCCATACTCTCGGAGGACTCTTTCCTCATCCCAGAGTAGGAATCCCGTCCACCGTCATCAGCTCTTGGAAGTGTGTGTTTCCTTCATGGCACCCGCCACGGTTTGTATTTCCATTAGAGTTCATGTGACGGCTTTAGGTTCACCTTCCTCACGAGCCCCGTGAGGGCCATGGGGCCTGGGGCCACACCTGTTGTGTTCCTCGGTGCTTCCTGGTACGTCGTACACTTCCTGCTACATGGTGGGTGTGCAGCGTGGTCAACGAGGAATGAGCCAACGAATGCACATTGTTCGTTATTTATCGGTGCTGAGGGATCCATGGGAAGTTAACAGCACAACTGAGAAAAACCGGGATTGAGTTGGCACGGGGAGTCTCTTATTTTCCGGCTTTCTGTCACTGTGGGACACTCCACTTTATTTCAGTGGAGGCACAGCACGGATTTACTCGGAAAGGGCCAGGTTCACCCAAATACTGCTCAGAACTGCATTTTGTAGCTACAATTTGCAGACTGTCAGTGATTCTCTAACCTTAGTGCTCACACTTGGATGTTGGGCCAAATCCATGATTCTTGAATCTTGACCCACGAAGAAAGAGAGATGCTTCTATTTCAACAGATTCTGAGTTTGCATTCTTTTTTTTTCTATTAAGTTTTTTGATGTTTATTTATTTTTGAGAGAGAGACAGAGCGTGAGCAGGGGAGGGGCAGAGAGAGAGAGGGAGACGCAGAATCCGAAGCAGGCTCCGGGCTCCGAGCTGTCAGCACGGCCAAGGATGTGGGCCCAGAGAGCCCGCGATGCCTTGGCCTTTAGCGCAGCGCTGTTGAGCTGCCCTCAGAGCCGGGAGCACAGCGCCTGGAGCAGGACGCCTCGGGCTGACCGGCAGGGGCGCTCACCCCTATGGCCCCCGTGGCTCCCGTGGCCCGCTCCGCTGGTGAACACATGGAATGAGCCCGGGGAAGGTTTTCCCGAGGCCACGCGGTCAACGCTCCGGACATGGGAAAAGAGAAGGCTGCCGTGGTTTGGGTCCGTTGCTAATTTTTTTGGTTTTCTGAGACTAGGAACTCGAACTGTCTGGGCTTCAGGCATTTTCTCCTTTACTGAATCAAGACGGTGGTGACGCTTGTCCTCACGCATGGATCACGAGGGGGCTCGTCTGGGTACACGGGTGGGGCTGTTCGCGCTCCTTCGTCCCGCTCGAGGCTTTCTGTGCTGCTGTCGGGGCGGGAACCTCGCTGTGCATGCTTTCCCGGCAGGAGCTGTGCTGTGCCCGGTTCTCTCTAAACGTCCCGCTTAACCCCCTGGGCGATGCAGCGCGGCGGTTCTGGTCTTCAGCCAGTCTGACTGCGGTTTCCAGGGACGGGAATCCCACCCAAGTCAGCATAGGTTACAGATGGAACTTATTAGCTCACGTACGTCAGAAGCCCCGGGGTGCAGCTGGCTGTAGGCACGGCTCGATCCAGGGGCCTCTCTTTCCATCTCCTAGGTTTTGCTCTGTGTGTTGGCTTCCTTTTCTTCTACTGAAAACAAGCTTTCCTTTGATTTCAGCTCCCTGACCCGCGGAGGCAAGGCCCTTTCTCCTCCTGCATCAACTGGAAGGCTGATGTGTCACTGCCGCAAAAGACCTGGCTTGAGGCCGTGCTCCGCTGAACCCGGCACCGAGGAGCGGGCCGGGCCCGGAGCAGCCCTGTAATTAAAACCCACCCGCATCTTCTAGGATTACAGAGCAGTATCGTTTATCTGGGAAATGGAGAAGCCGGCATAGTTGTGGAGGAGATTAGAAAGCCCATCTTTATTTCAACCCCCAATCCCTGTCAAGAACTCTTTTTGTCAGCAGCATCCTCGCTCCTTGATAAAACTGTAATGTGTGTCATCCTTGGTACAGCTTCTGAACTTCCATGTGTTTTCAGAGTTTGTTTTTTGTTGTTTACCTAGTTAGCGTCATCCATCCATCCATTCTTCCATTCATCCATCCATCCATCCATCCATCCATCCATCCATCCAGCGTTTACTGGTTGTGCTTGGAGAACCCATCCCTGTGCTAAAGACAGAATGACTAATGAAAGCTTCTGTCCCAGATTTCACGTTCTAGAAAAGGGTGGTGCACAGGCAGATGGGGGGCGATACTAGGTGGAGCTAAATTAAGACATTCTGGGAACACAGACCACACCACCTCACAGGGAAGGGAGGCGAGCGGTTTCTACTGGACGGGGTGCACGGGGCTGGAGCTCAAGAAGGATCGGGATTGTAGTTGAAATGCTGACCAAGCTGGCCTGGGGCAGGGGGAACCCGTCAGCCCAGGATCTAAGATACAGACCTGCACGAGGGCACAGGTGTCCTGGGAACAGCTCAGAGCCTCCTTCACCAGCCTTGGCCTCGGGACTTTAGGAAGAGCTGTTACATACACCTGTTATTCAGGAAATTCTCTGAAATTTTACTTGGTGCAAGTGAGCCCTGCCAAAGATTCACCCCCTAAAGTTACAAAGATCGTAACTGCCCTAAATGACTCCCGCCAAAGTGCTCTGAGCAGGTGCGCGCACGCCGCTGACTGCTTTATTCTCAGAGCTGGGTGGGGCACCCAGAGTTACTAGGACCCGGGATGGGACGCCCTGGGCAACGGACAGAGCGTTTGGAGACGGTGTGGGCTTCAGTCCGCCCAGCTCGCGGCTGTGACGGAAGTCCCCTCGTGCGCGATCAGTAGCGCGTGCGGAAGCATTGGGCGTGGTGCTTCTGGGGCGGGTGCCCTTGAGCCAGGGCGCTGGTTCCACTCTGGCTCTGCCACTTACCAGCCGCGTGGTTGGTTCGTTGTATGATGTGGGTGAGATTGCTTCACATCTCCTTTCCTCTTCTGTAAAATGGGGCTAGTGAAAGCAAGGGCCTCACAGGACGGTGGTGAGGGTTGTGCATGGTTGCATGATTTATCCCAGGAGAACCGTGCCTGGCACAAGAGATGTTAGCTATCGTTTTTATCGCTACTAGTGTGTGCTCAGCCTGTGTTACAGTTCATCTGCGCTTTTAGGAATCTCCTTCATAAAAAATAAAAATCATACCTTGTAGTGTGGTCACATAAACCCCAATGTCAGTGGACCTACCGAAGGGCACCACTTACTCATCAAATTATTCACCAAAGTATGTCACCAGCCACCCTGTCCATTTCCTTTTCTTTTCTTTTTTTTAATGTTTATTTTTGAGAGAGAGAAAGAGAGAGAGTGAGCGAGCATGGAAGGGCACAGAGACAGGGGGAGACAGAATCCTAAGCAGGCTCCAGGCTCCGAGCTGTCAGCACAGAGCCCCAAGTGGGGCTTGAACCCATGAACTGTGAGATCATGACCTGAGCCGAAGTCGGTCGCTCAACTGACTGAGCCCACCCCCCCCAGTCATTCCTACCCTGTCCATTTCTAAACTACACAGACTATGTTACCTAAGTTGGTTTTAGTTTTCTTTCATTCACTGAGTATCTCCATGCTTGAGACCTCGTAGCTCTCTTCCAGACACGCTGGGTGTGGACCACTTGTCACGTCTTCCGACACCATGCAGCACTGTGCTCTTGGTGGCCAGACAGCAGTGTTACTGGGATGTGTTTCAAAATGAAGAAGCATCTTGGGATCGATGCTTCTTCACACCTGGCTTTGGACTTTGTAATTCTGCACACATAGTGTGATGGCCCTCCTAAAACTCCACTCTGTACTACGAAGAGGAAACATGAACCAGGCATTGGGGTGAAGATCAGAGCCTCGCGGAACATCGGTTCATCTACAGCCTGGGCTCTCTCCTGACCCACCAGCTCTAGGCCCCCTCCAAAACTGCCAACTGTTTTAATTGAGGCCCAAAGAAGACATCATCTTGAAAAGTAATATTGGTGTGAACAGCCGAGGCAAACCAACACATTCTTTAATCCAATAGAAAATTCCTGGAGCTTCCTATGAGTTTGTAAGACTCTGTGACAGTTCTGTTTATGGCTTTCTTTGTTGATGAACTTCACATTGAGTGCTGGCTGCTTACCAGGAGGATGGTGTCTTTCTGGTGTTGAGGGAGGCACACAGTGGGGACAGCATGGGCGCTGTCCCCAGGGCCTCTGGGACCTAACGGGTGTGGATGGAGACGTCTATGGAGCAACAGGCTGGGCAGGACGTGGACAGCACCCAGGAGGAGCTCCTTACAAGCAGTACGTGTCACGGAAACTCACATAAGCTTCCTAAGTCGATTGACAAATACAGTTTTTTTTTTAAAATTTTTTAATGTTTACTTATTTTTGATAGAGCATGAGCGGGGGAGGGGCAGAGAGAGAGGGAGACCCAGAATCCGAAGCAGGCTCCAGGCTCTGAGCTGTCAGCACAGAGCCCGACGCGGGGCTCGAACTCACAGATTGCGAGATCACGACCTGAGCCGAAGTCGGACGCTCAACCGACTGAGCCACCCAGGCGCCCCGACAAATACATTTTTTTTTTAAAGCTGACTGTAATTATTTAAAGGATTCTTTTTAGCAACCTATATTACAATGAAGCATATTTAATTTTAAATCAACTAATTTCCACGTTAGAGACACAAATAATGTTCCCATTAGGATATCGTACGATCATTAAAAAAAATTCATTGTTCATAGTGAAGAAACTCATGGAAAGAAACTGTAAAACTTTGGTTTAGGTTTCTGTGAAGAAGAAACTCCTTCAGGGGGAAACGCTACATAAATGACATTTAAATAAGACTTGTTCTTGAAATACTTTCTGACTACAGTCAAGAGGGGAGCCTGTCACTGTCACCTACGTATCCACCCTGACACGTCCCTTTTCACCATCTGCCGCAGCAGCCCCCAGAAGCAGTGTTCGGGGCAACACCTGACGGCGATCACTCGGGAAAGAAGTCCTTGCTGATGCCACGACCGGGTGCGGGGTTTCCGTTACTTCATGTGGCCAGGACGGGCACCCTGCCCAGAGTCCTGCAGGACTCCCTTACTGGAATTCTGATTCTAGAACCAACCACCACATGGAGGGAAAGCTGTGACTCCCAGCCCACGGAAATTGGGCCATAACCTCATCAGCAGGATTGCTGAGGCCTCAGGGCTGTTAGATGCAAAACGGGCTGACTCTTCCCCATCTGGTTTTTTTTTTAAGTTCATTTTGAGAGAGAGGGAGCGTGCATGCACACAAGCAGGGGAGGGCAGAGAGAGGGAGAGAACCCCAAGCAGGCTCTGCACTGTCAGCACAGAGCCCGACATGGGGCTCGATCCCACGAACCACGAGATCATGACCCTAGCCGAGATCAGGAGTCAGACGCTTAATCGACTGAGCCCCCAGGCGTCCCTACTCCCCATCTGTTTTCAGGCAAAATCACAGCAACGGGCCATTCAGGGAGGAGGGAAGACAGAGCTACTCCTGTGGAGCTTCTCTAACACCTTTCGGGAAAGAAAGTGGTCCCTCTGCGTAATGTCTTCATTTCTCCTGTGGACTCTGACCCGCCCATTCTTCAAGGTTTGGGAGAGACTCGGAAGAGGCCCGAAGTGGTGCTCGGGGACCGTCTTCCAGAATCGCTGGCCAGGAGCTTCCGGTGGGGGTGTGGGTGGGGAGGGCTGGCCTCCCGGCTCCTAACTGGGCATCACCGTGCCTGACGTCGAGTGGCAGGCCGTCTTGGGGCCCGGCCCGTAACACCCGTGTGCGGCATCGCCTTGGCTGGCTGGACGTGAGCAGGGACTGACCTGGTCCCGGGGTGCACAGCTGGGCACGTGGCTGAGCTGGGAGGGGCTCTCGTGGCCGCATCACTGATATCCAGGCAAGGGGGCCTCTGCCTACCGGCTCTAACCCCAGCCGGGTGCCCGGGGAGCCCGGGGCGCGAGCGTCCGCGGAACAGCATGAAACCGTCTCTGCTGCAAATATCCCTCAAAAGGACAGTTTCACAACTTTCACGTGTGCCGAGGAGTAGACGTGGTATTGTCACTAGAACTCTAGAGGCAGGATTTTCGAGAGGATTGTTCATCTTTCTCTGGGTGGCTGGGCCGAGAACCAGTTCTGTCTCTCCCAGGCCAGCAGACGGCCCCGGCGGGCCACACCACGGGCTGCTCTGGATTGTGTTGGTTCCTTTGTGGAGCGAGAGCCCGTGCTTCATTGTAGCTACAACATACCCCACGCTTCCCAGCCCGAGTCTCTTGGGCCTCACACTCATGCTGTAGGGCTTTCAAAACACAGAGCCCCAAGCGTAAGCTTTAAAAACGCGTCCTGTTCTCTGCCATTCCTTTCAGTCTGTGATGATTTACAAGAAGACAACTCTTAGGGTTTTCTTTGAACCGAGTCCAGCCAGAGAAAGAACCAGGATGTTCTGGGGCCCTTTCTCAGCCACAAAAAGAAATAAAATACTAGCTTGGTTCTCTGAGGTCTACGGTCTTAGGCGGAGTGCAGAAGTGTGAAAGAACGAGCCTGAGTCCCTCTGACTTTGTGCCCGACGTGAAGGTTCACAGGTGGATACTTTTACCTGTTTCCCCCACGGCTGACTGGCAGCCGCCAGTCTGTTCTCTGCATCTATGAAGTTTGAGTACGATTTGTCAGTACATCTCAACCTTCCCTTGAGTGACCTCACTGATGAGAAAGCACCACTGGGTCCCTGGGGAGACACCACGAGCTTTGCTTACACAGTGCGTACAGGTTTCCAGTTCGTTGTCACGCTGCCTCGCTGTGGGCCAGCGGTCACGGCCACCTTGCCGGGGCATGGCCGCTGGGGCCGGGATGGACAGCACTGAGCCTGCACCACAGCGGGGCTGGGCCACAGCTGAGTAAACAGGAGAGCCTCCTCCACCACCCGCGCCCCCGGGCAGGCCAGGGTTTCAGCTTTCTCTGCATTTCCCTGTGTCCCGGGACTCTGCTTTGCACACAGCGGACGTACCCTGAAAGTTACTGTTAAAGATATCTGGAAAGGAGAGACAGAGGAAGGGAGGGAGAGAGAGAGAGAGAGAGAGAGAGAATTGAATGTCTTGAATTTCCAACTTGAAGACATTTACTGCTAACATAATGGGAAAGTTTTTTTTCTCTTAATGTTTGTTTATTTTTGAGGGAGAGAGAAAGAGAACAAGTAGGGGAGGGGCAGAGAGAGGGAGACACGGAATCCAAAGCAGGCTCCAGGCTCCGCGAGCTGTTTCAGCACAGAGCCCGACAAGGCACTTGAACTCACGAACCAGGAGACCATGATCTGAACCGAAGTCGGACACTTAATCAACTGAGTCCCCTAGGCGCCCCGGGAATAGTTTTTTAGTAATAGCAGCAGGAGGAACAGGGCAGGCAAGTGTAAATGCTGAACCCTGAACGTTTATGAGGACCAGGTAGGCGAGGTAGAAACCAGGAGAGGTTGAGGGAAGGTGATTGTCATGGATCTCAGTGGAGAGGCTAACACATCCTACATGTGGTTTCCTTCCCTGTAAGTTCTCTTCTTTAGAAAGCTGGGACATGGTCGGGCCGTCCCCTTTACGTTCATGGTAAAACTGCCAAGATCCTTCCAGGCTGGGGAGTCTCAGAAGGTTTTGCCAACTTGGGAAAGATATTTCGTGACTTTACGGTTCACCTGCACGTGCTCACATCTGCCTTCCACATACTTCCTTTTTAATAATTCTTCTTCTTCTTCTTCTTTTCTTCTTCTTCTTCTTCTTTTTGTTGTTGTTGCTTTGGCTTTTCTTTTGCTGTGCATGGACTGTTTGTGGGGAATTGCTTCCCTGAGGTTTTAAAGACACGATTCCAAGAATGAGCAGTGCAGACCGATTTCGGAGTTAGGCCTCTGAGGCCAGCTCCAGCAGGTCCTTCCTCCCAGTATCTTTTGCCACTTAATTTGAATCAACTGGAAAAGACTGTAGGAAAAACAATTAATAAGGTCAATTATGCTCTCTCACTGACCGTTCTTTACATACACATCTCATTACTTTGAAAATAAGCTGTTGATATTTGACTGCTTTTTAGCCGCAAAATGAGCAGTTTTGTTCACATCAACCCTATGTGTTTAAAGCCCTCTGCCTGAATTGGGTTCTCTTTCGGGGGCCTCACAGCCAGGGCAGGAACAGGGGAGAGAACACTTCCAAAAATCCCTAAATTATTCTGTATATCTTCTCCATCAAACTCTCCAGCAGCCCAAAGTCACAAACCCCTTTCCCACCAAACGTGAGTCCCCTAACCTGAAAGTCAGGGGCAGCGCAGTAGACCCCACTGACACAGAATAACCCCACTGAAAAGTGCACATTCAAACGCCCTCTCTCTCTCTCTCTTCCATAAACAGGAACAAGAAGAGTGTGGTGACACCATATGGAAACACCTGATGTTCCACAAAGGAAGAGGCTCCTGATGGATCCGTGAGGAAGGCCAGCTCTCAGGGCAGTAATTGTGTTTTTCTAACACCTGGGCAAGTGAATTATGGACACCCCCCGGGGGTGAACAGTGCGCACGCAGACGCATCAGGACTGCTGCTGATGCTGCCAGGCGAGACTGATATAAATGGGAGTCGTACAAATAAAAGCTCCGTGGGGGGGCTCGCTACCGAAGCCCGAGTTCAAGTCCCCCTTCTGAAGTTTAGAGACAGCCTGCCTGGGTGGTGTTTGTCCTCGGACCCAGTGAGGAGACCCAGAGTGATGAACACTGACTCGGAAGGAGGCGGCATGCCCCGGTGGGCCAGCCGTACCCAGTAGCCCAGTGCTTTGGGGACGGAGCCGCGGATACCCGGCCGGTGCCTGCGCGGGACCCTCATCAAAGCATCAGTGCTGCGGCCTGGGGACCAAGCCACTGAGACCCCGACGCCCGGCCGGCCAGCGGTAGCGTGCCTGCGGTTCATCAGCTCAGCCGAGAGTGCATCTAGGGCCGACCCCCTCCTGCACGCGGGAGAGGGCAGCGCTGTGTGAGCGCCACGGGGGCTGTGGACGCAGAAGTGAAATCTGATCGCGGGCCAGGAAAGGCCTGCGCAGCTAGAGCCCAGAGGAACCGCCGACCTTGAGTCAGGGCGCGGTCATGGTGGGCTGCTGAGCGGGGGTCGGGCCGCGGCGGCGGCGAGCGCAGGCAGGCCCATGGAGAACCCGGTGCCTCCCTGCGCCCTCTACCCCCGGGAGGACCAGGGCCGCGGGGCCGAGGCCGGGGACGCCTTTGCGCAGGGAGCGTGCGGCCAGGCCGGGGACCGGGGCGGCGCTGCCGCAGCTCCGGGAGAGGGCAGCCTGCAGCTACCGGACGCGCAGACACCCTGCAGTCTGAGCGCGTCGCTGTGCTTCAGCTCCGGGGACGACTCCCCGCCGCAGTCTCGCGCCTCCGCGGCGGAGGGCGCAGCGACTCCCCCGCCCTCGCGTCGCAGCGGCCAGCGGGTGGTGGAGAGGCAGTGGGAGGTCGGCAGCGCGGGCGCCGCGTCCCCCGCGGACTCCGCGTCCCCGGAAGAGCCCGCGTCCGCCGAGGAGCGCGCGTCCCCGGAAGAGCCCGGGGAGCCCGCGTCCCCGGAGGAGCCCGCGTCCCTGGAGGAGCCGGTGTCCGCCGAGGAGCCCGCGTCCCCGGAGGAGCCCGCGTCCCTGGAAGAGCCCGCGACCCCGGAAGAGCCCGCGTCCCCGGAGGATCCCGGGGACCCCGCGCCGGTGCCCCCCGGCGTCGGGCCCGCGCACGGGGAGCCCGACCTGGTCATCGAGGTGTCCGGCCGCCGGCTGCGGGCGCACAAGGCGGTGCTGGCGGCGCGCAGCGACTACTTCCGTGCGCGCGCGTCGCGGGACGTGCTGCGGGTGCAGGGCGTGGGCTGGGCGGCGCTGCGCCTGCTGCTGGCCTACGCGTACAGCGGCCGCATGGCTGGCGTGCGACCCGACAACGTGGCCGAGGTGGTGGCCGGCGCGCGCCGCCTGCAGCTGCCGTGCGCCGTGCAGCGCGCCACCGACGCCGTGGCTCCTCAGCTGAGCCTGGCCAACTGTTACGAGGTGCTGAGCGCGGCCAAGCGGC